GTAAGATCAAATACAACGGGTAGAGGTGGTTAACTAAAGTTACTGTCAAAGGTATAACATCCTTATATTTTAAGATTATTTAATGGATAGGAGTAATTTACGCAAACTAATTTAGCCGAACAATCTTTGCATTTAATCGTAATTATATCCTACTACATTTAACGATAATGCAAGTTGAATTAAATTGTGAACCAATTTTGTTACATGATTGGCAACAAAAAGCAATCACATAGGTTCATAAGATCTCGAGTCCAATGGCTTAGTTGAGAAATTTCAACAAAGTTTTAAAGTTAATATCGGAGCAATTGAAATGTTGATAATTGAACTATGCTGTGATCTGCTATTTCCTAGGCGACCTTCTAATATTAACATATTTCAACGAGGTGTTAACATTGCAGCTATTGACCTTTAAATGAGGCACGTTTCTCGCATGTTGTAATGTAATGAGAGACACTTGCTATGTTTGTGCTCAAAAGAGTTATGTTGAGATTCCATTTGTTCCTCCATACTATGGTCTTAGTTAGTTGCTATATAGAGTACCTTTTATTTGCCTGATAAGGATACTACCCGCACAAAACACAAGGATGGATTATTGCTAATACGAAGCGTCTCATTTAGTCCCCTTATAGGACAGAAATGATGAAGTAGTTTGCTACAGGTTGCAATAATAATGTTATGGTACGTTTATAGGTAATCAAAGTTCAAGGGTCAAATGAGTCAAGCTTGAGCCGAATATTTTAAATATTTATTTGCATTTTAAAGTTTTGAGCATGGTTCTGGAGAAGGATATCTCATGATAAGATATCTTTCGTAATGGATGCAAATGTATTTCGTGTAACAGACAACGTAGGAGCAATACAAACTAGAGCCCTAACCAGACAAGAAACCATCCAAACTTCAACCGCTCTTCATACACCCTCCCTCACTCCCTAATCATATGACATCTCTTGGATTGGCAATTATGTATCCTGAACATAGAAATCACTGTATGTGGGCAAAACTTCAACAAGAGAATCGAGTAGTCTATGGTATGATTAAGCCTGTTAGACATTATATGATTTACATAATGGATACTTTCTTTATGCAATACCACATAATTCAACATGCTTCAACCTTAAAGGAAAAAACTGGGATATTTATTTAAAAAATTGGCTGTTAGCATAGCTAATCACTTTTCATGCATCAATTTTACCCATCTTTGAACATATAATATAGGCATGGAGTTAGGAATAAATTAATGGGCTATATGAACAGGAGCGAAGAATCTTTGCATAAGAAATGAGTATGTTTTCAGTGTACCACATTTATTTTAGTTTAGTATATTGACGCTGCTAAGGGATTTTACGAAACCCACTTTTTATGTATATTGTTGTAGTTTAGTTTGCTTCAACTTAAATAATTCCCGATATTGATAAGTATTATCAGTTGACTTCTCAACAGCATACCTAGAATTGGCATTTGTACAACATAATATTTCATTTATATTACATTCCATTATTATATTTGATTTAGTCTCTTTCACGATACTTAATATATTTTATTTTAAAAGCAACTTTGAGATCATGCTATCTCAGCAAACTACATACAATTACAATCAAAATATTATGTTTAAAATACGATGGTTTAACTAAGATATGGTGAAACACATCTACTCTAAACATTTCAGTTCAGTTCTCTTTGATCTTCTTATATTCTCATGCCATATGGATTTTCTAGGATTTATCGGTAGGAGGTTCCTCTTGATTTTTAGAAAACTGGTGCCGTAAAACACATTTCCGCATCAAATAACGTAGATTGTCATTGCAAATTATCTCCTATTCTCACATAATCTCTGCATTTAGGAAGCAAGTTCGTTGGGTGTTAAAGTAAATTTCGCTTTCTATAAAGAGGCGTATGGGAGCGATCTGCAAGTTTGTCTCACCGGAAGCCGATGAGGGAAAGCTTGGAGCTGTGACTATGGAATTGGGCAAATGTGTAGGTTTCCTTTGCACTAGGACATGTAGAAACGATAGAATAACTTTCTTTGCTAATTCCACGGTCAACTTGGTCTTACTGTGGGTAACGGTCTTCTAATGGTCGCAAGTCTTCTGAGCTTTCTTTGTCGTGTTGTCAAACGGCAAAATGGTCTTCCATGTAACTAACCCATAATTTAGGTGACAACAGTGCTTCTTGTATCAAGCGACTTTATAATTGGGACAAGTAGATATTTGCTAAAATTGGGCACAAATATGGTCCATAGCTAAGCCTCGTATTTGTCTGTATCATTTATCATTGAAAGTATAATTAACACAGCTCCTCAATACATTTTGCAACATCATTTTTCACAGTTTACATAAATTTGTACTTCTCAAAACATTATGGCGCTGATCTAAGGCTAAAATTCTAAAGCCAATACAATTCCACTTGCAGAAATGTTAGTCTACATTGACTACACATCAAAGCTAACTAGCAAATCCGCATCTTCTATCCTCTTTGCATCGACTAAATGAACGAATTCATAAGAATTCCTTATTGACAAGAGCCATGTGTCAGCTAATGACACATAAATCTCGATACTTTCTTCATCATACTACCCTTAATATTTACAATACTTATCCGTGGGACTGCTTCCTTATGCATCTGGGGCGGACCATATGCATTCGGTAGCCTGGCAGCTTGTTGAAAGAGTTTTTTCCCCTCTCTACATCCTCGTTTGCTACATCATGTTGCAGACAACCCAGAGTCTGAGTTCATGGTTCAAGTAGGGTCCAAACTGATAATTTTGTGTCACCAAATAATCTAGTGCTTGCATTCTCTTTGCAACATAACTAACCTCATCAATGACCACCACTGCTCCTCCTTCGACTGTCCTTAACACCATTTTTTCCTTGTCTTTGAATTCTTTACTCTTCTATTTCTTGGCAAAAACTCAAAATGGATATTAAATAAAGGGACAACCAGCAACTCGATATCATTACTAGTTTATTCAGGAAATCTGTCGGTAGAACTGATTAATTCGGCCAATAATTCTTCATTGCTGTCCCTGTTATTCGGCGACACAAACTTCAAGCATGTATAAATAACTTGCTCAATGGGAATGTCTAATACTATTTTATTCAGGTTTACCCCGTTCTCTCCTACTCTACCTCCCCCATTTACGTCTACCATAACTGCCCACAGATAACTCATCTTCATAATTCTTATACCTAATTTTCTAAGCCTTTTATTATGAGTTATCCCAACCTGTTGAGAAACTCTATCATATAAGTTATCTACCTTTTTTTCTTATTAAAAGAGTCGTCCAAGCTAAAATTTTAGACTTTTATTTCCCCAATGTAAATTTGAACATTCTTGAATCTTAAAAATATCGAAAGCATGAGATGCCCTCAGAAGTAGTTGTTTAATTATACTAGAATTATTCGGTGTATCAATAATATAAGATTTATGAATAATCTCACTTGAAGAACACTATTTTGAAAACTAAGTATGACTTACTTGCCTGGCTAGTGCATTATTAATTTTAGAGAAAAGTTTAGTACCCTTATGTTCCTCGAATAATAATAGAAAAACTCGTTTTCTAAGAATCTATTAATAGATTAATGTAGCAACACCTTTTATTTCCTTTGAAGAGGTGAGTGGATGTGATTCGTATTTTGGACTCATCGGAAATTAAGTTGGCTTGCCTTGACGCTTTAAATGTACAATTGTACTAATATGTCATTCTTTATATTTCGTTTTGAGTAGGTTTTCGAGACTTACATTAAATCAGATATATGAACCGTGTCCACCCCATTTCATATGAGTAGAAATGACCCAGAACGATATATAAGTAGTGTCGTCGAGTGCTATAGCAAAAATAAGTTTGTTTCATCGGCAATCCCAACGCAAAATGTGATATGAAAAAATGTCTGGTCTTTCTTCAAATTCACATATTACCCGTGACCCAAAGTCTCTCGTGGCCATGTGAAGTAGTTGCTAGAGTGTCGAGGTTACATGTCGCAATGACATGGTCCATCCTGGATGAGAATACCTTTTCGAAAACAGGTCTTTATGAAATTGGATGGAAAATGCACGGAGAATGGAGTCCTGTTCTACGTTCATATGGTAGCGTGTCTTGTGGTACCAAAAGTCAGAAGAACACGAACACAGCACACACAGGACCCCAAATAGACTGGTCTAAACCTAACGTTTTACTGGATATGGTGCTTGTACCAACCAGTAAGCGGAAGCTAAAGCAATCTACAGAAAGCAGCCATTTTCGAACAAAATGGAAGGTGGAAAAATATAAATCTATTTGCAGAGTTTTCCAATTCCATTATCCATTTCTATATCTAAAAGGTAGGGCGGGAATTAAATATTTTTTTGGTTTCATTGCCTCCGTCTGAGGTGGTGTAAATAAATGTCTATGCGAGAAGCTTTCCCACCTAGAGGACTGTATTGTCCAAGTTTTTCAATTCAAAGTGATAAAATTATTTTTTTTCTTCCCATTTTGTTGATTGAATTTAGGGTTATCAAATGAGCTATTATTACCCTAGCAACTATGGCTACAGCAACGGCTACGTGGCTCCAGACTATTCACACACTTGGAGCAATAGGGGCTATAGTAATTGGGGAAGAATGGCGGATATTCCGGTCTCTGACTACGAGCGGGCAAACGAACAAATGTACCCAAATATAGATGATCTGCTGCCTGAAGACGAGAGGAGCAGGAATGACTTTGCTGCACAAATGTTTTCGCCGGAATCGGATGCATCGGAATTGGGAATGACTCGTACTGACGACTTGCATATATACCAAGATCCTGTCGAGAAAATCTTGATCACGCCAAAATCAGATCTGGCCGGTCGTGATGAATTTGAATCAGGAATTGATATTAGCCCAAGTCCAACGAGATCGCAGACCATCCAGTACAGGCCTCTCTTGAATCCAAAGTTTTTCAAGCGACTACTCATAAGACAGCCTCGCCCATTTATGATTTCTTACTCAGACAACAAGCGCTTTTTGCCACCAAATGTGATCGAACCGCCGTTCAGGCTGGGAAACCAAATGAGAATACGTGACACTCTTCTGAATCGCCCCCATGAAGGGAACAAGATTGAGGCAGAAATGGGTTTGCTTGAGGAGAAGAAGGAAGTGAATGAAGAAAAAAATATGAAATCTGTCGAGAAAGAGGGCTCTATGGCCGCCGAACTTTCGCTAAGCAAGCACGAATCATAAAAATGCACATTCAGCATTTGAGGATTATCCGCAGAAGCATCACAAACTTTCTAGTTGATTATTCAAGAGGTAGTTAAATGTTAAATGTAGTCTTTTCTAGCAGTTGTTTTTCCCTTTTCCCAATCAGGTTTGGTATGTGATCGTTTCCCGCAAGATATACTTCATATGCTGGCGAAATGTAAAGCTTGGTGGCATTTTCTTTAAAAAAAAATAATCAGGCCAGTACATTAAATTGGTTTATTTTTATCATTTCGTTTCAGTTCTTACATCAACTTAAGCGAACTCTTTTTAAGCTACTGATAGTATCGAAATGTACACTTACCATGAGAATAAATGTTTCATATTTTCAAGACTTATCTAAACGATGGGAGGAATGGGATAAACTTATTAATTCTTCATTTCAGTATATTTCGAAATTATCGGTGACATTTAAACAACAACTTGGTCATCCTAGACGGTTGAAGTTGAGTTATGGCGACAGCAGAGTCTTGCCAAAAATGATATGAGTAGGCCTTGACAACAAAATACTCTCCTAATCTGTAGGCTCCACTCCGCTTGGAGGCATGCTCTTAACTCGACATTGTTTTGATGTAAAGTGATATCTTCCGATCTAATGGCAAATATAACTTAGCTTCATTACGTTTGCTCCGTAGAGCTGATTTAGGAA